AACCCCAAAACCCCAAAACCCCAAAACCCCAAAACCCCAAAACCCCAGAGTAATAAATATTTAAAGAATCGATTGAGTTTACTAAATTGAAAGTTAAAGATTATCTTAAAGGCTACATAATAATATTATCCATATTAATCAATCGTCGATCGTCAATCAGAAGAACCCTCAGTCTTTCATTCTTCTCATCAACCTATATTTAACAAACACATCTTATAGATATAGTGTGATCAAGTGAATCGCTTGAGAATGCTCACTATTGGATTTTCTTCTGATTTTTATTGTTCTAGTCCTCCTCTCCATTTTACTTAAGTGTGCCATTCGGTAGTTAGTTTTCTGCGAAATACTCGCAGAGTTTGTTCAAACGGTTAATTGCCCACAGTGTTAGCTTAGGCACTTCAACCCATCTATTGTCCATAGTTTTGGTATTCATAACCACAACAACGAGGTGCAAACTATCCTTTTCAAAAGATGCTGCCAAACAGGGTCCTGCTGCCGGTGTTACTCCAGTTTTGAGCCCATTAAAGCCCTTTCCCAGGAGTTTATTAGTGTTTGTCCATTCAAAGTCTCTTTCCTCATCGTAGATGTCACGACCCTTGCATTCATAGGTCTGTTTATTAACGATTTCCCTCATTATTGGGTCTTGCATTGCGATACATGCCAGCTTACCAATGTCGTAGGCTGTTGATTTGTTGTTTTTATGAGACAGTCCATGAGGATTTGCGTAGTTAGTGGACTCTAAGCCCAGAGCTCTAGCATATCTGTTCATCTCTTGGACAAAGTATTTTATTGGCTGGTCCGATGCCATTCTTCTTTGATTATCTTGTTGGGCATTTTGGTCGGGATTAGCCTATGCATTATTGTTAGCATTGGGCTGTTATTATTAATTTTGCTGTTATTGTTATTTATTGTTCTTATATCTGGTTGCGACTTCGAACAAGTACTGTCCGAAGTGCTCTGAAAGGCAAATAGCTGCATCATTGCCACTTGGAAGCATAAGTCCGTGCAGGAGGTCCCAAACGGATAAGACATCACCGGACTTTAGTTTGGCAGATGTCCCTCCAATAGTTGCAGCATTCTTAGAGACTTGCAACATTGTTTTCTTAGAATTCAGTTTGATTTTTCTAATAATTTGAACTACCACGAATGCAGTCATTATCTTTGTTAGTGAGGCTATCTCACGCCTATCGTTTTCGCACTTTCCAAATAATATCTCTCCCGTGCGTCCGTCCATGATTGACCAGCTCTTAGCTGTCACAAAGGGAGGAGCCAGGTCGACCAATAATTTATGAACGAGCATTTTTACTTATTATAAATTGAAGTCTCTCTTTTTTAATTAATTTAATAGAAATTTATACTGCATCAGAAAGTATGCTTGAATTAGAATTTATGAGTAGTCTTATAATTTTCAATTAAGAAATTAAGGATGATTATTCATTCGTTACTTCACAATCACAGATCCATATTAGCAGCTGAGTTCTTAAGATCTAGCAAAACTAAGTGCGCACTTGGCATTTCCTTGTAGTAAGAAGGGTGAGCAGTTTTTACTAGTTCCACAAAGGAAGAATACCTGAGCATGAGAACTCTCATAAATCTCTGGAATAGCTATTGCATCGACTACTGTATCTAAATACTTTATTTGATTTCCTTAGCTATCAGATCAGTCTTTGCTCTGTAATTCTATGCGAAGTCTTGAGCAACATTCTCAATTAACTTAAGATTCAGAGTTGAGAAGTCTATCTTTTTGATCGTCTTTGGCATTTAATGATGCTAAGACTCATCCTCAGACCCATCAGAGGAGGTATCTCCGGATAGGCAGTACTGACTCACAATATCCTCTAAACCTGGATAGTTCTCCTTTAAGATTATCTTTATCAACTTCTCCATGAACTAGTTCAACTCCTTCTCTATAGCAATTACATCTTATATGCCCTTCTCGAGGTTTAGATTCTTAAGATGCTGATACATATAGTCATAGTTGTTGATCAGATACACAATCTACTCCTTTTCCCCTTCGAAGTGCTCCCTAGCCATTTTCAAGCACAAATCTCCTTATCGACTTTTAATTTAACTGAGCCTCAAGATAAGCATATCCTGAGAAGCTACGTTTGCTATCCTGTAGAGCCCTGACACGAAATCAATGTATCTAATTGTTGATTGATGAACATTAGCCTACCCATATAGCTTGAACTACTTCACATTGACCTTTTTCAGGTTTTCGTTGTAATTCTCAAATATCTATGTGAACCTAGGCCATACCAGCTGATTCACCTTGTCAAAGTAGTAGTCAAGGACTGGGATCTTGTTCCTCAACATGATCTTTTTATTCTCCTCGTTGATTAGTATAATCAGCAGAGATGCGTAGAGATCGTGCAAATTATTCTGACTGTAGTTCTTGATCCAATCTAGATAGTAATTGACTGTCTTAGAGAAAATCTGATTAAAGATGTAAGAGCACTGGCCAATCTTCAAGTCAAAGAATTCAAGAATAAAGACGAATTCCTTGCTTATAGCTTCGATTAAGATACGATTCTGGGATCTAAATATTTCCTCAACAGCATACTTTCGTTGTTTTTGCTGCGACATGTGAGTTACCAAGGGGCTTGAGTCTATTCTGTCTAGAATTTACAATCTATCCTCAATATCAAAGACAGATGTCGGAATGTATTGCGGCACTTACTACGATCTGCTGCTAAGAATGCTGTTGTTCATATTCATTTAGCCAGTACCTTCTGTATTATTGTATCTACCCATAGTTCCCATATCTAGAGTTGAATTCAAACTCTAGTTGGTATTAGTTTTATGCTTTAGTGACTCGTCAATAACTATCAAGTCATGCTTGGATACTCTTTCCTCAACTAACTTTTGTGTCTCCTTCATATAGGTCTTGAGCAGTTAATAATACACTTTATCCATGATCTCTGCATAGTAATTGGTCAACTCAACGTAAGTCTCCTAAGAATTCTCTTTCAAAAAGACCAAGAGAGGTTTGAACTTCAACAATACGCTTTCCTGTAGAATCTAGAAATTGGTTTTTGGCTTCTTTAGATTGTTCATTTTCACCATTAGGAAACTTCTAGCTCGAGAGCACACCTTTAGTCTCAGCTTGTCAAGTTCCGGTCTTATTTACTACAGTGCTTTACTGTCAGTGATATCTGCTTTCCTTGAATGCATAAGTATTGAATTAAGGTGGCCTACCTTCTCTAGATAGTCCTAATGATCGATTTCTGCATTGCATAGAGTTTCTATTAAATCCTAAGGCACAAGAAAACTGGACAGATATGAATGTATAGTCTTCTCCAATTACTTCCTATTCTTAAGTGAAACATTATAACTTTGAGACTTCTCCTAAAGAATAGATACTTGGTTTGAAATGTCACCCAGTTCATGCTGGAAAGAGTCCACCACCTTCTCAATCTTATTGAGAATACTTGTGGACTTATTTAGCTCATGATAAAGAGTGCCCACATCTTTGTTAATAGTCAAGAAATCTGTAATGCATTCCTCTTCAAGTCTGTTGAGCTCTTCTTTGATCTTCAGAGTATAAGCTCTGATGTCTAGTTCCTTTTCATTGGCTACAATCTCTGATAAAAATCTATAGTCCTTTTGCTGCTCTCCTCTGGCACTGTCCATTTAAATTTCAACTTTTTAAATTTACAATTTTTACTTATTATCTTATTATTGATTCTTGGCACTGGGGTTTTGGGGTTTTGGGG